AGTGGCCAGCTGTTTAAGAACACTAAAAAATAATGGCTTGCATTTCCATTTTCGTCATTTTGAAAACCATTTTGCATGACAAGAGTGATTTCAGTTACGTAAAAGACAGCATGTGTTCATCCTTTAACAAAATAAGACAAACTTACATCGCTTAAACGGTAAGTAATTGTTCATATCCTTTAATATGTTCTTTAAACAGTTGACACAATGTAAGGTACATATACGTGCATTCCCATCAATTATGATAACAGCTTTATTTGGCTTGTTCACGCGTTATAAATATACATCCAGAAAAATGGCACCTGTACTTACGTCGTTTTTGACATCTCCTGCCTCTGAATCCAAGTTTACAGAAACATTTCCATCTTTTACCTCTATATCTGCATTTACCTCCATTGCGACAACGTACCCTAGTACATGGATTCCTGCTTCCTTCAGTCAAAGAAAAGAAACGATATGCAAATTGCAATTGTTGTCTGCTCAACTAATATACAATTGTATTGCCTATGCATATATACAGTCCCAGTCATGTTCATTATATAGCAGTTCCTCTGTTTGAAAGTATATTGCTGTGAATACCTATCTCTCTCTCTGTGTCTGGGTGTGTGTGTGTGTTTGTGTAGCGATTAAGGAGCACCTAAATGCAATAAGTCTGATTTCCTCTTGCTACTCATCAGTACTTATGTTCAAACAGATATTGATGTCCATGGCGATTAGGTGTGCATTTTGTTTCATGAAGGAAATCTATCAATACTTATGGTCATGCACATTTTTGTATCTACAATGATTATGTAAGACCAAAGCTGTGCACCCAAATTTGAAAAGGAAAACTAACCAAATTACTAAAATGTTGAGAACCTTTCTTTATCTGAATTGTAGTTTTTACGTAGACGACAAAGCCTAAAGCATATTGCCAGAGACCTGCTTCTTCAGTAGCATAAGGCAGTTTGCGATTGATTACCTATTCAAAGTGGGTCTGAATAAAACGACATTGGCACTTACCTCCTTTCTTTTGACACCTCTTGCCTCGGAACTGAGCTTTACAGAAACATCTCCATTTTGAACCTTTAGATCGGCAAACACCTCCATTCAGACAACGTTTCTTACTGCATGGATTTCTGCCTGTTGTGCAATATAGAACAAGAAAGGGTTATATTGCGCGATTTCTAACCACTTAACGTACATATAGACAATACTGCACTTATGGCCAAGGCAAAATACAGCTCTGGATATTTGCCTATTTAAAGACTACATCTGTTTGCTAGTACATTAGCGTGAACAGATATACCAGTACAATAGTGGCCAGCTGTTTAAGAACACTAAAAAATAATTGCTTGCATTTCCATTTTCGTCTTTTTGAAACCCATTTTGAATAATAAGAGTGATTTCAGTTACGTAAAAGACAGCATGTACAACAAGAAAGGGTTATATTGCGCGATTTCTAACTACTTAACGTACACACAGACAATACCGCACTTATGGCCAAGTCAAAAATACAGCTCTGGATATTTTCTTATTTAGAAGCTGCATCAGTTTGGTAGCATATTACTGTGAACAGATGTATGGGAACAATAGTGGCAACATTATCAAGTGAAAATTAACACGTGAAGATCCAGGATTACAGTAATGTTTGACCTAATAACTGTTAGTGAGCTTTTTGACGTGTGAAATCATAATTATACATTGTAAAGTAATGCTTGTCGTTTAATGAAGATGCGATCTCTGTGTTAAAAGACTTACTGGTATTAGAGAGCTACGAGAGTGCGTTAAACGGCATTACCATCATACATCTGGAAATACGTCAAACATGTCGGGTCATTTCAAGCTGACATGAGTATTATTTATCGACGTAATATGGTATTGTGTTTACGGTATCGTTGTGCCGTTTGTAGAACTTAAGAAGAAATCCTTAATATACACTAATTATGCACAACTATAAAATGTCCAAAACGAGCTGACATTCAACACAAGGATGCCAACACAAGGAAAGAGTACCTATCTGGCTGTCTTACTGACAACACATGGATAGTGTACCTATCTGACTGTCTTACTGACAACACAAGGATAGAGTACCTATCTGACTGTCTTACTGACAACATATGGATAGAGTACATATCTGACTGCCTTACTGGTAACACATTGATAGAGTACCTATATCTCAATTTAACAAACTAACCTTCACTTACATACATGTACCTTCCTACGTAATTTAAACTCTGGTTCTTTTCACTGCGCTACCGGAAGGCAACATTAACGTTTTTTACGCTTACGCATTAACTACCATAGAGAGAATTCATATTTATTTGAATATATACTTGCAAGTTAATGTCTCAATCCATTTGTAAGTATATTGTGTTCGTGTACACGATTAAACAGTTTAATTACTACCCCAAGGATAAGAAATCCATTTAAGTAGCGTGAATGCCTTACATTACACAATTCAAAACTCACTGAAAGAACACAACAATTCTTACCGTTTGGTGGTCCTGGTCCTGGGGATGTGACAAAGTGGCAGACTGAGGTGAATACTTTGTCTTTAAGACCTCTTAACTGTTTGAAGTTCTTCACGGTAAATCGATTCTCTGCAGCGGGCCTACTAGCTATTCCATCTAACTCAGCTGTTTTCTTCAATCCGATCCCAATGGCAAAGATATGGATGCCCGCCCTTCTCACAGCCTTTGCTTCTGGAATCGTCCGCTTGGACTTCACATTGGACAAACCATCCGTCATGACCAAAGCTACATTCTTGGCACCTCGACGATCACCTCTTTTCCGTTTAAACATTTGAGTTCGCAGTAATCTGAGACCAGCAAATGTGTTGGTACGTCCTCTTTTTGTATTTAATTCTGTCTATAGCCCGGAATAAAGCTTTCTTTGTTTTAAATTTATTCAGGTGAAACTGGATTGTCGCCTTTCCGTTAAAGATGGCCACACCAACACGGACTTTACCATCATCTATGCTTGCCGTGGAAAGGAAGTTCTTCATGAAGGAGAGCATTCGTTTGAAGTTGTGCTTTTTGACACTGCCAGAGGAGTCCAGCAGAAAGACCAGATCCAGTTTTCTCCCTGAACAGCCTGTAAAAGTACAAGATACGTTACATCACATATCTCGCATAACATTGTAATTCCTAAATCGCTTTCGTGCATTTCTGCCCTGAACATTACCTATTTAATATATGTTTTTTACATTTATTCTTGTGGCGCAGCCAAGGCACCTGATCAAAAGTAAATTCTTCTGGCGTACATGCCTCAGACACAGTTATTTTCAGTGCAAGTGGTCCGTTTAATACAGAGGGAAACTGACGACCTAAGTAGCGGACATTAATCATGTGGAATGGAGCACAAACTGCACATCAAAACAAAAACACACGATTCTGGTATGGGTCCAGTTGAGATACACAGGTGAGTGCTTCAATATTTGCTTCAGTTGCAATGAGGTGAAATGCATATTCTTTTACATTTATCTGACTTTACACCTTATTTACACTTGCTCAATATATACACATGTACATACCTTTTGGTGGCGATGGTCCTGGTCCTGGGGATGTGACAAAGTGGCAGACTGAGGTGAATACTTTGTCTTTAAGACCTCTTAACTGTTTGAAGTTCTTCACGGTAAATCGATTCTCTGCAGCGGGCCTACTAGCTATTCCATCTAACTCAGCTGTTTTCTTCAATCCGATCCCAATGGCAAAGATATGGATGCCCGCCCTTCTCACAGCCTTTGCTTCTGGAATCGTCCGCTTGGACTTCACATTGGACAAACCATCCGTCATGACCAAAGCTACATTCTTGGCACCTCGACGATCACCTCTTTTCCGTTTAAACATTTGAGTTCGCAGTAATCTGAGACCAGCAAATGTGTTGGTACGTCCTCTTTTGTATTTAATTTTGTCTATAGCCCGGAATAAAGCTTTCTTTGTTTTAAATTTATTCAGGTGAAACTGGATTGTCGCCTTTCCGTTAAAGATGGCCACACCAACACGGACTTTACCATCATCTATGCTTGCCGTGGAAAGGAAGTTCTTCATGAAGGAGAGCATTCGTTTGAAGTTGTGCTTTTGACACTGCCAGAGGAGTCCAGCAGAAAAACCAGATCCAGTTTTCTCCCTGAACAACCTGTAAATGTACAAGATACGTTACATCACATATCTAATTCCTAAATCGCTTTCGTGCATTTCTGCCCTGAACATTACCTACTTAACATATGTTTTTTACATTTGTTCTTGTGGCGCAGCTAAGGAAAACATGACGCCTGATCAAAGTAAATTCTTCTGGCGTACATGCCTCAGACACAGTTATTTTCAGTGCAAGTGGTCCGTTTAATACAGAGGGGAAACTGACGACCTAAGTAGCGGACATTAATCATGTGGAATGGAGCACAAACTGCACATCAAAACAAAAACACACGATTCTGGTATGGGTCCAGTTGAGATACACAGGTGAGTGCTTCAATATTTGCTTCAGTTGCAATGAGGTGAAATGCATATTCTTTTACATTTATCTGACTTTACACCTTATTTACACTTGCTCAATATAAACATGTACATACCTTTTGGTGGCGATGGTCCTGGTCCTGGGGATGTGACAAAGTGGCAGACTGAGGTGAATACTTTGTCTTTAAGACCTCTTAACTGTTTGAAGTTCTTCACGGTAAATCGATTCTCTGCAGCGGGCCTACTAGCTATTCCATCTAACTCAGCTGTTTTCTTCAATCCGATCCCAATGGCAAAGATATGGATGCCCGCCCTTCTCACAGCCTTTGCTTCTGGAATCGTCCGCTTGGACTTCACATTGGACAAACCATCCGTCATGACCAAAGCTACATTCTTGGCACCTCGACGATCACCTCTTTTCCGTTTAAACATTTGAGTTCGCAGTAATCTGAGACCAGCAAATGTGTTGGTACGTCCTCTTTTGTATTTAATTTTGTCTATAGCCCGGAATAAAGCTTTCTTTGTTTTAAATTTATTCAGGTGAAACTGGATTGTCGCCCTTTCCGTTAAAGATGGCCACACCAACACGGACTTTACCATCATCTATGCTTGCCGTGGAAAGGAAGTTCTTCATGAAGGAGAGCATTCGTTTGAAGTTGTGCTTTTGACACTGCCAGAGGAGTCCAGCAGAAAGACCAGATCCAGTTTTCTCCCTGAACAACCTGTAAAATGTACAAGATACGTTACATCACATATCTCGCATAACATTGTAATTCCTAAATCGCTTTCGTGCATTTCTGCCCTGAACATTACCTATTTAATATATGTTTTACATTTATTCTTGTGGCGCAGCCAAGGCACCTGATCAAAAGTAAATTCTTCTGGCGTACATGCCTCAGACACAGTTATTTTCAGTGCAAGTGGTCCGTTTAATACAGAGGGGAAACTGACGACCTAAGTAGCGGACATTAATCATGTGGAATGGAGCACAAACTGCACATCAAAACAAAAACACACGATTCTGGTATGGGTCCAGTTGAGATACACAGGTGAGTGCTTCAATATTTGCTTCAGTTGCAATGAGGTGAAATGCATATTCTTTTACATTTATCTGACTTTACACCTTATTTACACTTGCTCAATATATACACATGTACATACCTTTTGGTGGCGATGGTCCTGGTCCTGGGGATGTGACAAAGTGGCAGACTGAGGTGAATACTTTGTCTTTAAGACCTCTTAACTGTTTGAAGTTCTTCACGGTAAATCGATTCTCTGCAGCGGGCCTACTAGCTATTCCATCTAACTCAGCTGTTTTCTTCAATCCGATCCCAATGGCAAAGATATGGATGCCCGCCCTTCTCACAGCCTTTGCTTCTGGAATCGTCCGCTTGGACTTCACATTGGACAAACCATCCGTCATGACCAAAGCTACATTCTTGGCACCTCGACGATCACCTCTTTTCCGTTTAAACATTTGAGTTCGCAGTAATCTGAGACCAGCAAATGTGTTGGTACGTCCTCTTTGTATTTAATTTTGTCTATAGCCCGGAATAAAGCTTTCTTTGTTTTAAATTTATTCAGGTGAAACTGGATTGTTGCCTTTCCGTTAAAGATGGCCACACCAACACGGACTTTACCATCATCTATGCTTGCCGTGGAAAGGAAGTTCTTCATGAAGGAGAGCATTCGTTTGAAGTTGTGCTTTTGACACTGCCAGAGGAGTCCAGCAGAAAGACCAGATCCAGTTTTCTCCTGAACAGCCTGTAAAAGTACAAGATACGTTACATCACATATCTCGCATAACATTGTAATTCCTAAATCGCTTTCGTGCATTTCTGCCCTGAACATTACCTATTTAATATATGTTTTTACATTTATTCTTGTGGCGCAGCCAAGGCACCCTGATCAAAAGTAAATTCTTCTGGCGTACATGCCTCAGACACAGTTATTTTCAGTGCAAGTGGTCCGTTTAATACAGAGGGAAACTGACGACCTAAGTAGCGGACATTAATCATGTGGAATGGAGCACAAACTGCACATCAAAACAAAAACACACGATTCTGGTATGGGTCCAGTTGAGATACACAGGTGAGTGCTTCAATATTTGCTTCAGTTGCAATGAGGTGAAATGCATATTCTTTTACATTTATCTGACTTTACACCTTATTTACACTTGCTCAATATATACACATGTACATACCTTTTGGTGGCGATGGTCCTGGTCCTGGGGATGTGACAAAGTGGCAGACTGAGGTGAATACTTTGTCTTTAAGACCTCTTAACTGTTTGAAGTTCTTCACGGTAAATCGATTCTCTGCAGCGGGCCTACTAGCTATTCCATCTAACTCAGCTGTTTTCTTCAATCCGATCCCAATGGCAAAGATATGGATGCCCGCCCTTCTCACAGCCTTTGCTTCTGGAATCGTCCGCTTGGACTTCACATTGGACAAACCATCCGTCATGACCAAAGCTACATTCTTGGCACCTCGACGATCACCTCTTTTCCGTTTAAACATTTGAGTTCGCAGTAATCTGAGACCAGCAAATGTGTTGGTACGTCCTCTTTTGTATTTAATTTTGTCTATAGCCCGGAATAAAGCTTTCTTTGTTTTAAATTTATTCAGGTGAAACTGGATTGTCGCCTTTCCGTTAAAGATGGCCACACCAACACGGACTTTACCATCATCTATGCTTGCCGTGGAAAGGAAGTTCTTCATGAAGGAGAGCATTCGTTTGAAGTTGTGCTTTTTGACACTGCCAGAGGAGTCCAGCAGAAAGACCAGATCCAGTTTTCTCCTGAACAGCCTGTAAAAGTACAAGATACGTTACATCACATCTCTCGCATCATTGTAATTCCTAAATCGCTTTTGTGCATTTCTGCCCTGAACATTACCTATTTAATATATGTTTTTACATTTATTCTTGTGGCGCAGCCAAGGCATGACTGATCAAAAGTAAATTCTTCTGGCGTACATGCCTCAGACACAGTTATTTTCAGTGCAAGTGGTCCGTTTAATACAGAGGGGAAACTGACGACCTAAGTAGCGGACATTAATCATGTGGAATGGAGCACAAACTGCACATCAAAACAAAAACACACGATTCTGGTATGGGTCCAGTTGAGATACACAGGTGAGTGCTTCAATATTTGCTTCAGTTGCAATGAGGTGAAATGCATATTCTTTTACATTTATCTGACTTTACACCTTATTTACACTTGCTCAATATATACACATGTACATACCTTTTGGTGGCGATGGTCCTGGTCCTGGGGATGTGACAAAGTGGCAGACTGAGGTGAATACTTTGTCTTTAAGACCTCTTAACTGTTTGAAGTTCTTCACGGTAAATCGATTCTCTGCAGCGGGCCTACTAGCTATTCCATCTAACTCAGCTGTTTTCTTCAATCCGATCCCAATGGCAAAGATATGGATGCCCGCCCTTCTCACAGCCTTTGCTTCTGGAATCGTCCGCTTGGACTTCACATTGGACAAACCATCCGTCATGACCAAAGCTACATTCTTGGCACCTCGACGATCACCTCTTTTCCGTTTAAACATTTGAGTTCGCAGTAATCTGAGACCAGCAAATGTGTTGGTACGTCCTCTTTTGTATTTAATTCTGTCTATAGCCCGGAATAAAGCTTTCTTTGTTTTAAATTTATTCAGGTGAAACTGGATTGTTGCCTTTCCGTTAAAGATGGCCACACCAACACGGACTTTACCATCATCTATGCTTGCCGTGGAAAGGAAGTTCTTCATGAAGGAGAGCATTCGTTTGAAGTTGTGCTTTTTGACACTGCCAGAGGAGTCCAGCAGAAAGACCAGATCCAGTTTTCTCCCTGAACAGCCTGTAAAAGTACAAGATACGTTACATCACATATCTCGCATAACATTGTAATTCCTAAATCGCTTTCGTGCATTTCTGCCCTGAACATTACCTATTTAATATATGTTTTTTACATTTATTCTTGTGGCGCAGCCAAGGCACCTGATCAAAAGTAAATTCTTCTGGCGTACATGCCTCAGACACAGTTATTTTCAGTGCAAGTGGTCCGTTTAATACAGAGGGGAAACTGACGACCTAAGTAGCGGACATTAATCATGTGGAATGGAGCACAAACTGCACATCAAAACAAAAACACACGATTCTGGTATGGGTCCAGTTGAGATACACAGGTGAGTGCTTCAATATTTGCTTCAGTTGCAATGAGGTGAAATGCATATTCTTTTACATTTATCTGACTTTACACCTTATTTACACTTGCTCAATATATACACATGTACATACCTTTTGGTGGCGATGGTCCTGGTCCTGGGGATGTGACAAAGTGGCAGACTGAGGTGAATACTTTGTCTTTAAGACCTCTTAACTGTTTGAAGTTCTTCACGGTAAATCGATTCTCTGCAGCGGGCCTACTAGCTATTCCATCTAACTCAGCTGTTTTCTTCAATCCGATCCCAATGGCAAAGATATGGATGCCCGCCCTTCTCACAGCCTTTGCTTCTGGAATCGTCCGCTTGGACTTCACATTGGACAAACCATCCGTCATGACCAAAGCTACATTCTTGGCACCTCGACGATCACCTCTTTTCCGTTTAAACATTTGAGTTCGCAGTAATCTGAGACCAGCAAATGTGTTGGTACGTCCTCTTTTGTATTTAATTTTGTCTATAGCCCGGAATAAAGCTTTCTTTGTTTTAAATTTATTCAGGTGAAACTGGATTGTCGCCTTTCCGTTAAAGATGGCCACACCAACACGGACTTTACCATCATCTATGCTTGCCGTGGAAAGGAAGTTCTTCATGAAGGAGAGCATTCGTTTGAAGTTGTGCTTTTTGACACTGCCAGAGGAGTCCAGCAGAAAAACCAGATCCAGTTTTCTCCCTGAACAACCTGTAAAATGTACAAGATACGTTACATCACATATCTAATTCCTAAATCGCTTTCGTGCATTTCTGCCCTGAACATTACCTACTTAACATATGTTTTTTACATTTGTTCTTGTGGCGCAGCCAAGGAAAAACATGACGCCTGATCAAAAGTAAATTCTTCTGGCGTACATGCCTCAGACACAGTTATTTTCAGTGCAAGTGGTCCGTTTAATACAGAGGGGAAACTGACGACCTAAGTAGCGGACATTAATCATGTGGAATGGAGCACAAACTGCACATCAAAACAAAAACACACGATTCTGGTATGGGTCCAGTTGAGATACACAGGTGAGTGCTTCAATATTTGCTTCAGTTGCAATGAGGTGAAATGCATATTCTTTTACATTTATCTGACTTTACACCTTATTTACACTTGCTCAATATAAACACATGTACATACCTTTTGGTGGCGATGGTCCTGGTCCTGGGGATGTGACAAAGTGGCAGACTGAGGTGAATACTTTGTCTTTAAGACCTCTTAACTGTTTGAAGTTCTTCACGGTAAATCGATTCTCTGCAGCGGGCCTACTAGCTATTCCATCTAACTCAGCTGTTTTCTTCAATCCGATCCCAATGGCAAAGATATGGATGCCCGCCCTTCTCACAGCCTTTGCTTCTGGAATCGTCCGCTTGGACTTCACATTGGACAAACCATCCGTCATGACCAAAGCTACATTCTTGGCACCTCGACGATCACCTCTTTTCCGTTTAAACATTTGAGTTCGCAGTAATCTGAGACCAGCAAATGTGTTGGTACGTCCTCTTTGTATTTAATTTTGTCTATAGCCCGGAATAAAGCTTTCTTTGTTTTAAATTTATTCAGGTGAAACTGGATTGTCGCCTTTCCGTTAAAGATGGCCACACCAACACGGACTTTACCATCATCTATGCTTGCCGTGGAAAGGAAGTTCTTCATGAAGGAGAGCATTCGTTTGAAGTTGTGCTTTTGACACTGCCAGAGGAGTCCAGCAGAAAACCAGATCCAGTTTTCTCCCTGAACAACCTGTAAATGTACAAGATACGTTACATCACATATCTAATTCCTAAATCGCTTTCGTGCATTTCTGCCCTGAACATTACCTACTTAACATATGTTTTTTACATTTGTTCTTGTGGCGCAGCCAAGGAAAAACATGACGCCTGATCAAAAGTAAATTCTTCTGGCGTACATGCCTCAGACACAGTTATTTTCAGTGCAAGTGGTCCGTTTAATACAGAGGAAACTGACGACTTTAGTAGCGGACATTAATCATGTGGAATGGAGCACAAACTGCACATCACAACAAAAACACACGATTCGGGTATGGATCGAATTGAGATACACATGTGAGTGCTTCAACATGTGCTTCAGTTGCAATGAGGTGAAATGCATATTCGCCTTGAACAACCTGTACAAGTACAAGATACAAGATACAAGATACATCAGATCACATTGCCTGTATGGATATGATGTTTGAAATGCGTTTTATCGGTCCTTGGTGGCACAGCTGAGACAAAGGTTGGTACCTGACCTTCAGTAAAATCCTTAATATGTATGATTATCTGATTATCTTAGGGTTCATCAACCTTTATGTTCCTTTGTAATCTAATGCGCAGTAATGAACAAGCTGAAATAGTTATACAACTATGTTATCGTGTGTGTGTTGAATCCGGCATAATGTTCAACACCGTTGGTATGGATCACTTGGCGGTATCAACTAAAAGTATTGCCTCATATATTTCCGCTGGGGGAAGGGCCCAAAGTATTAGAACAATTCTTACGTATC